TCTAATTAAAATGTAAATAAGCTCACTAATTAAGGACCTGCTAACCCATAGGGAAAAGACTGATCATTCTGATAAGTCACTGCATTCTTCTTTGCAAATTCATTTTCAGAAAATTTACTTCTCCACCAAATAAGCAATTCTACTACATTTTTTTAAAGAAAGAAAACACTGACCACATGGCCTTAATAAAATGTTACTATTTATATAGGAGTAATATATTTATTCTGAGGGAATTTTCCCCATGGACAAATGCACGAAATGATTATTATAGTCAAGGCTCACTATAGTCACCAGAAAGAACAGAAATGTAATCTAGGAGTGCATCTCTTGGCCTCTGTCCTCTAGTATTGGATTTATTTCACACACAAGCTCACTCCATGTAACAATAAAAAAGAAAGGTCCAAGAACCATGAAACGTTTTCAGGTAAGAGATCTATCAACTCTTATGAATAGATAAGAATTTACAGCCAATACATGAATCCATTTTGTGCCACTGAGTACTACAAACATAACCTTAAAACATCTTTAAAGAGTTTAAGAATTAATTCACTGAATAAAAATTTAGAGCCTATGTTGCAATGAAGTAATTAGTTATAAGGCATTAAGAATGATTCGACTAGTTTCCCTACTTCAAGTAGCACTAGACGAGATAAAACATGCATACACTGTGCACTGCAATAATGCAAAGTATAAAGTACAACCAACCAGTGAAGGAGCTGTTTCCAGGCTCAGTGATTAGGAAAGTTTTATAGGGAAGATAAACTTTGGCTGGACCTTGAGGAATGAGGTTTTCATAAATATATTCTATATATGCTATAATGAACTTTTCTCTTGCTGAGAGAATGATACCACCTCACCTCCTACACCCTACAAGGTGCTGGTGGAGCTGTTGATTAGAGCGTCCTCCTCAACATCCATGCACTCCCCCACATATATAAACACCATTGGTGTGCACGCAAGCACACACACTTGCACACAGGAAAATGGCTGAGAGTATATCCAAGGCTGGCCAAAATCCCCACCTCTGATACACTAATTGATTCAATGGTGGGTATGTAACCCAGGCAGGACTAATCAGAGTATTCTCAAAACTGATACATAGATGTGGAAAGTCTCTGCCTTTGGGCTCATGAGATTTTTGGCTTAGGGATGAAAAATGCCATCTTTCTTGTTACATTAAGATGGGCTGTGTGAGAAATGAATTCAATACCAGACGACAATAGAGGCAAGAGATGCACTCCTAGAAAGTCATATCTGGCTAGACTTCCTGCTCTTTTAGTCAACTGAGTCTCTTAGAAAATTAATGGTTCTACTAGGCATACACCAAAGTCCAGCCTTAGCCTCTAGAAGGCAAAAAGCCAAGTAACCACTTCAATATCATTTCTGATAACCCCTAATTTTGTGAGTGATCAGTAATCACATAAGCTACCTTCATACCTATAATCCTGTATTTGCAGCTAACATAGCAAAATAGCGGGGCTTATTAGTAACTAAATGTGATTTGCTGACAAAATTGTGAGATCCTGTTAATACAGTAACCAAACTGTGTCTCGAGAAAGTAAGAGTTTCTTACATAATTGCTGTACATATTTTCTTATTCTATTCTACAGAAGATGCTGAAATCAGCATGTATGCAATGAAAGCCAAAATGCAAATGGAAACTCAGATGTTCTTATGTTGAAAGCGAATTATTGTTTCCTAGATGAATACATTTTAAAATAAATCATATGAGGGCACAAGTACAAACAAAAACATAAGAAATAAAACATGTAAGTGAGGGCAACAACTTTAAATCTGCTTTGGAAAATATTCAAAAATATCGTCTTCAAGCAGTATGTGAAATTTCAGTTCATGAGACCACTTCAGTGAAATGAGCCTTCCAAATCTTGAAGTCCAAAAATTGAAGAGAAGTCTTTACCTTAGTCAGTTACTATGTGAAAGAAAGAAAAGCCTAATAACTCAGTTACATAACCAGCACCAGTATTATGGTAGAACTAGCCAAACAAGACCTTTGAAATAAGCATCTATTTAGTATCATCAACATGTAGAATGGGGACTGCAGGAAAATTTTAGCAAGTGATTCTGATGAGAAATTGTTGTTCCTGCACAATAGCAAGCTTTTAAAAACTGAATATTTAAATTTTTAGAAAGGCCCTCAATCCTATTATTGAATCCTTGGGGCAAGATATGTTCTGAGGCCAGAATTTTATGGGATTTAGAAATTTGTCAATTTTAGGAAGGTAATGCACTGTATGTGCTATATATTTTATAAACTGCCCAGGAAGGTTTCACTCAGCATGCCATTAACAAACACATATTTCTACAGCAAAACATACACATTTGTGTCAAACAAATAAATACTACAGGGAGCCTCAAACCCGTTCAAGTTCTGCTGCCAAATTAATTCATCTCAAACTTCTTTTTAATTTCCAGTTTTCAGAGCTTTTGGGATTTCAGAAATACAGATGAAAAGATTACAACCTATAATAAAATCATAATACTTGTTTTACAAAGTTTCAGATTTACTTAGTATCCCAGAGGTCCATTCTGTAATGATATTTAGACACTTGGCCAAAATATGTATTTAATGCACATCAAGTTCCTCCAGCTTCAAATCAAGGGTCCTAATATATATGTTCAATGTAGAAAAGTTGGAAAATACAAAAAAAAAAAAAAAAGAATAAAGAAAATAACCCACAATCCGAATGTAAATTGGTGCAGCCACTATGGAGAACAGTATGGAGGTTCCTCCAAAAACTAAAAATAGAGTTACCATATGATCCAGCAATTCCACTCCTGGGCATATACCCAGAGAAAACTATAATTTGAAAAGATACATGCACACCCATGATCACAGCAGCACCATTTACAACAGCCAAGCCATGGAAACAACCTAAATGTTCGTTGAGAGATGAACAGATAAAGATGTGAGATATACACACACACACACACACACACACACACACACACACAAAATGGATTACTCAGCCATAAAAAAAGAATGAAATAATGCCATTTTCAGGTACATGGATGGACCCAGAGATTATCATACTAAGTGAAGTAAGTCAGAAAGAGAAAGACAAATACTGTGTGATATCACTTACATGCACCTGGAATATCCTCTCAACCTGAGGACTTTGATCTTTCTTAAATTCTGGAAAATTCTCAGCCATCATCTCTTCTAACAAGGCCTCTCCACCATTCACACTCTTTCCTCTTTTTGGAACTCCCAGTTAGATGTTAGTTGGTGCCTCTCAATATATGTATGTGTTTATATATATATATAATATTCTCTTGAGTTTTCTTGATTTCTCTGTGCTACATCCGGGTGAATTACTCAGTACTATCTTGCAACTCACTAATTTTTGCTTTAAATACGTTTGGACCAGAGTTTAACCAACTTTTTAAAAATTTAATTTTTCACCATTTTTTCTTTTATATAGCCATTTACTTCACATTTACCTACTGTTTATTTATAACATGCTTTTTTTTATAACTATTACTTCTTTTATCTTTTTAAACATATTTAAAATACTTAAAAGTCATTTTGAAATTGCTCTATTAGATTTTAAGTGAGTTTATCTCCTAGTGGTTTTGTTATTTTCTAAGTAATAGTCTTCCTCATCTGTGTGCAGGCTCAGACTTTCCCTTCCTTTTTCCAATGGTTTTGAGGTAAGCCACCCCTCTTCCAGAGCCCATGACCTACAAGCTCGGTGCTCTTGTACCAGGTAATAGTGGAGAAATTACAGTTCCCAACTCTGAGCCATGTGGCAGCTCAGCCACTTCTGTGTCACCACTTCAGAGCCACAGCTTTTTAAAGCAACAGCCAGGAGCAGAGGCTTTCAGCCTTCTTTTCATCCAGCCCCAGCCCAGCTCCAAGTTTCATCCAGGGTACCTGACTCCAGTTCCCCTGCACAAAGTTATTTCCACTTGCTCCTGAACCCAGGGTCTAAATGCATGTTTGCTTTCCATTTCAGTCCCTGGAGATGGTTATCTTGTTCTTCGAGTACACCTATATCTTTTCTTTTTCTTTTTAAATTTGTAATTGCAGTGTTTGGAGCAGGGTAGGGAGCTAAAAGCAGGATAAAGAGTACCGTAATAACAACAGCTAACTTTTACTGAAGACATACTATATGCCAATTTTATATTTACTTTTTCATGAAATCCTCTCAACAATCTTTTGAGGTAGGTATTTTTATTATACCCATTTCAAAGATGAGAAAACAGAGGCATGGGGCCAGTAAACAATCTTTCCAAGATTACCAGCTAATAAGGACCAAGAGTCAACCAAAGGTCTTAACCACTGCTCTATTGGCTTCCATCCTGACCAGAACACTCTTCAGAATTTTGATTCTCTTATTTTTTTTCCCACTTAACTCTGATCATTTTGCATACAGGCAGGATTTTAATCGATGGAAGGGAAGTAGAGCCATATTCCTGGTGGAAAGTAGCATATTGGCTTAATGTTTATTTAGTGTTATTCAGTCTAGGCCTATACCTAAAATCAGAAACATAGTTTCAATGCCTGTCTTTTTACCAAAAGCCCTTCTCACTTTCCCTGGGCTCGAGGCATTTCATGTTTACCTCTAGATACCCAGGACAATCCATGCAGGCTTTCCTCTGACTCTGCCTTTTCACCACCCTCTCTCTGCCCTAGTATATAATGTCTAGGAAAGGACCTTATTAAGGGATTCATACAAAGCACCTCAGGAGACTTCTGTTTTTCATTTTCCTTCATAACCAAAGTTTTAATCTTAAAGGATTAAATTTATAAATATAAGTGAACAACATGCAATATCACCCGAAAAGAGCCAAACTCAATTTTAGGCTTCATTGTTAAAAACATAAGGTCTAGAAAAGTAAAGATTATCAGTCCCACTCTATGCTGCGCTGATAATTTATCCAACAAACACTAACTGAATAGTTCCTAAGGACCAGGCACTGAGCAATACACTATGGACGCACAATTGATCATCCTTTCTCTTTTCTAGTATGCATACATTTTTCTCATTTAATCCTCACAACAGGCCACTCCAGGAACAGTACGCTCAGTTTATAAAAATCATCTTCTGGAGGATTTCCTGAAATAGAAAAAAAAAAAAGGTGTTTTAAAGAGATTAGACGTTGAGAACGGACTGGAGGACACAGGGAAAGGGGAGGCTGGGACGTACAGAGTAGCACTGACATATATACACTACCAAATGTAAAATGGATGGCTGGTGGGAAGCTGCTGCATAGCACAGGGAGATCAGCTAGGTGCTCTGTGACCACCTAGAGGGGTGGGATAGGGAGAGTGGGAGGGAGGCTCAAGAGGGAGGGGATATGGGGATATGTGTGTACATATAGCTGGTTCACTTTGTTGTATGGCAGAAACTAACACAACAATTTTACTCCAATAAATATGTATTTTTTAAAAAAATAAATAAAGACCAAAAAAAAAAAAACGAAGAGGTTACTAAAACTGTTGCTTGGTCATCTAAAATATTTACAGACTTTTATTCCTAGGTTTAATACACAATTTTAAAACACAGGGTCCTAGTGAGAGGTAAAAGACAGAAGGAAAGACTAAAAGGAGTCCATGGAAGTGAAATGGTTAAGAAGCAATAATTTGAGAAAAGCTCAACATTTGCTGATTGGAGAAGTGCAGTTTGTTTCCTTTTTAATAGAGATTAAAATTATATATAATTTATATATATATAAATTATATAAAATTAGAAGTCATGATCCAGAACAATGTGTAATTGCTAAAACATCAGAGAGAGTTACAATGTGGGCTCTTCAGATTCAACCCTTCCTAACATCGACTTCAGAGCTTATGAATATTTGCTATGATGAATAAGTAGAGCTACTCCTGAAGAAGATTAGGCAGAACTTGAACCTGTAGGTGGAGAGACTGGTTAAGAAGCCAACACCAAGTCTAAGCAAAATAAAGTCTCAACTTGAGTTGTGGCAGCAGGGATGGAAAACAAAAGGAATTTATCAGACATAACTGAAGCAGAAAAGACCAACTTTGATAACCATACACAGAGGGAAAATGAATCAAGTATCTAGGTTCCAAACTTTGGAGTAAGAGTAGTGGTGCCGTTAACAGATGTAGGGACCATGGAAGAAGGTGCAGATTTAGGACAGCAGATGGATTTAGTTCGATATATATGACTTTGAAGTGTCAGCAAGACACTCAGAAGGAGATATTCAGCAGACAGTTAAAATTAGGGTCTGAGAGCTGAAGGTAGAAGTAGAAAGATGACACAAGTGAAAGTGTTCAGTACAAAGCCTGGACCCTCCTACACCTTCTGCTTCAGTCAGACCAAACAAATGTACAGGTAGAAAGATCAGACAAGAGGTAGAAAGATGACACAAGTGAAAGTGTTCAGTACAAAGCCTGGACCCTCCTACACCTTCTGCTTCAGTCAGACCAAACAAATGTAGTTCCCCAACAGAGGCAGCTCTCTGCCATTTCTACCTCCAAACAAACTTTTCTATAAGCCAGACACCCTACTTCACATCTGGTTAGCATCATCTTTCAGTATGTCATCTTTCGGTATGCTCAGTTATCATTTTCCCAAACCCTACTAATTTTCCACCAAGAGGATGGTACCTGGGTCTTAGCTCTCTCGCTCCATGTACCTAATTTTTAGCACCATGCCTAAAATAGCAGGCATTTGAAAGACTGACTAAAAGAATAGGCTTGGCATGTGCTCAACAAGCCTTGGAAGGAACTCTATCCTCTTAGAGGTGACCGCTGAAGAAATTAACTTGGATGATATTTCCAAAGGAGAGAAAAGAAAGTTAAGTGGTCCTAAATACACGTAATCATCATGGAACATTTTCATCTAGGGAGCAGTTCCCAAAAATGCTTCTTGACTTCTTTCAGGCCTAAATACATCATCTGTAACACAAGGATCATTATTCCTACTTCACATGTTGATGGGAAGATTAAATGAGATAGCATAAATAAAGCACCTAGTATAATCTATGGCACTCAATTAATGTTCCTCAACCCAATGTGAAAATATGACAGAGCTAGCGTATTTCTTTGCAACTTCAGTAACTGCTATACCCTAAAAAGCCTAGAAAAATAATGGATATTTGAGAAAGGGAAGCTAGACTTGTCAGATGCTCTCTATGAAGCAGTTTTTTCCAGCCTCACACTATTGTCACTTTTGTGTGGATAATTCTTTGGTTTAGGGGGATTCCTGTGCATTGTAGGATGTTTACCAGCATCCTTGAATTCCACCCACTTGGTGCCATTAGCCCTCCCCACCAAATATGTCTCCAGACATTGCCAAATGTCCCTTGGGGGGCAATACTTCCCCTGCTTGAGAACTACTACCCTAAAACTAACTGAAATTCTCACAAAGCCCTAAATCCTTTTCTTGACATCTACAAATATATATCATAAATTTATTTGTTCCCTAGGAACTGATTCTACACATTAAATCATGCTTAGACTTTATAAGCTGTTCTCTTAAAAGTTAACCAAAACTGTTAGCTAGCCCCTTAACTGTCAAGCAAGTCATCACAGATAATGCATGCAGTCTAACCACTCAGTGTATTACCACACTGAGACCCTTAAAGCCAAACTAATATAATGAACGTAGGGATAGCCAATCCCAAAAGGTCTTCACACAAAATGAAGAGATTTATCCCAGTACTCAGGTGTCTAATCCTGACTTCATGTCTACAGGTGGTACTAACTACATATTTTATAAAATGAGTTTTAGTTGCCTAAGGACTTTTACAAGTTTTACGTAGACACTAATAAAATGTAAAATAACATTACACCTGTTTAAGAATTATTATGTATCATATACCCATATATTACAACAACATAAAAAGTTATGTACACTAACCACAAAACAAAACAAAAAACAGACAGGAAAGTAGAGAAACAAAAGCTGAGTGAACAGTTCACTAGGGCTTTTGGACAAACTGTGTGAGGTTAATAAAGTTGACCTTGATCAAGTTACTTAACCTCTCTATACCTGTTTCCTCCTTGCTAAAATGTATATAATTATAGTGTCTACCTTGTAGGGTTGTTGTGGGATTGAATGAGTTAAAAAAGGTAAAATGCTGAAACAATACACATTAAACATTATTATTTATTGTTATTTTTAAGGCTGCATAGGCGAAGAGAAGCGTATCTTGGGTGGTTGTATAAAAGTAGGCACAGTAAAGTCAAACAACAATGAACATGCACCCAGATGCTCTATGTTCAAACTTCAGTTCCTTAACTAATTGTTTCATTTGGGCTTCCATTTTCTCATCTGTAAAATCGGAAAGCACTTTGAAAACAGATTACCATATGACAAAATCTAAGGGTTGTATGTTTAGTAGGATAGCAGGGGAAAGTTGCAGCTGTCTTCCAATTTGGTAGAGGAAACTTTGTGAAGAAGGTACTTTTTAAGGAAATACTCTAATAATGGGCCAACCAGGGAAAGCACATGCCTTGAACCCAGGTAGGTCTGATTCAAAAGCCTTTGCTTTAGTCTACAGTTTGAAAGCTTAAAACGAAAAAGGAACATCCTGAGTCGTTTAAAAAAAAAGTTTATTTTCTTCATATAAGGTAGGCACACTAACCCTTTGACCCTTTCAAAGTAATAGGAATACATTAAAGGCACTGGCAGGGATTTGGTCACCATCCATTCAAAACAGCGTTAACACACCACCAAACCACTAAGTGATCTTTTCTTTTCAATTATGAAAGATTCGTTCTTTCAGAGGTAAGGGTAATGCTAGAAAAAATGAGATTTGCCTTGTATGATCAGGAGTGTCCCAACAGTTTTAAATCAGTTTGATGTCTATTTTTAGATACAAAAATCTTTGCCTTCCAAGGAACATTTCAAAATCATCAAGGAATACGCATACTGCACCTTATACTTATTAGGAAGTAATATTTTAACCAATAACTTTTTGTAAGTAAAAGTTGCAACATCAAATCATATGTGAAACAAAAGTTAGGTGCAGAACTATCTCCACTGCTGCCAAAAGTGCAAAGAAAAAAAGAAAAATCAAGCTTTCCTAACCGTTCAGGCAAATGCCACCTCCGCAAAGCCTCGGAGGGCGAGTCTTGGTCCCCGGTAGAGGGTCTCCAAAGATAACACCATTCGGTTCGATGTACGTACGAAAAGGAAGGTCAAGGCGCCCTTCCGCGACCTTTACGAAAACTCCCAAGAATTCTGTCTTTGCCCCAGGGTAGAGCTGTCGCTGGGCATTCTCCTCGACATCCCGCCGGGAAGAGGAGGTCGCCGCAAGTGACTCGGATCAGGTCGGGTCCGGTCCTCACTGGTCGCACCAGCTCAGCTCGGGCGGGCTCCCACGTGGCGGCCGCAGCCTGCCCAAAGACGGCTCTGCACCCCCGGCCGGCGTTCTGATTGGCCAAGGGCGGCGGAGCGTCTCCGGAGCCGGCGGTGACTCGGCCAAACTGGGCGGGCGCCGGGCAAAGGGTCGCAGCCAGGAGGACAGCTACCCGAGCAACCGGTCCCGTGTGTTGGCCCCATGCCTGCGGTGCGGATACCACCCGGCGCCTCGGTCGCGCAACCCCATGTGGTCCCGGGTTAGCAGCAGGCACAGTCACCCTCTACCCTGTGTCAGGTAGCGCTCACCTCAACGCTCGGGGCGCCTCCACCTTCAGCTTTTTGGGCTTCGGCTCCTCCTCAGCCGCTGCCATTTTCGCGCTCCCACCTCACTTAAGCTCCAGAGCTCGCCCCACCCCTTCGGCTCTCGAAGGCCTCGCCCCCTCTCGCATCACCTCCTCCTTATCTCGAAACCCCGCCCCTCTCGGCTCCTCTCAGTTCGTGCCTCTCCCAGGCACAGCTATTTGGCTCTACCTCTCGGCCTCACCCATTGGCTAGTTCACAGCTCCTCCTAACCCCGCCCTCCCGATTGTAGGGGCACCCTGACTGGTTTAGGCTGCGGATGAGCGCCTAAGTCCAGAAGATGTGAAAGCTCCCATTTCTCTAGACTCTGGATGATCTAGTAGATTATATCCTAAAATTCAAAAGACGTCTTTCTCCTCATTCAACGTCTTCTCACTCATTTACTCTTTCCAGTACTGTTGGTTACTTTGAAGCTGTTAGTCAGGCAATCTATCCGGCATCCCAACTCCGGGGTCCTCACGATCTTCTCAGCTGCCTCGGCCTCCGTCAGGAGAGGACCCCGCGTCGAATCACTGACTGGCCCAGGAGTCGGGGTGAGTGTGAGGAGCTGGGGGTCTGCGGACAGGGTGGCATCACGAAAAGTGGGACGTAGGCTGAATAGCTCGGGCTCCCGACTGCAGTCTGGGGTGCGGGAGCGTCTCTGGTGCTGTGGACCGGGGCCGCGCCTCCCTCCCGGCCTTCCGGTCTTTCTTGCCAGCTGGGCCGGAAGGGAAAGGTGCACCTGCAGCCCAGTGTTCTCAGGCCCTCAGGCTCAAGAGGTTCAGGCTCATTGGGGTCCCTCACCGTGCTCTGACGCGGGAAAAGGTCTTGTCACCCACGGAGAGCTGAAGTACCGACGACTTGGACCTCAGCCCCAGGCTTCTGCTGTGGAGGACAAAATCCTTAAGTGTCCTGAGCGGACGTCTTGTTAGAGGGTGGCGCCTGGATGAGCCTGGGGTAATGCAGTGAGGACAGTGTTGCAGTTCTTCAGAAACGAGTTGATAGGACTGTAAACTGAGGAGGTGACAGTGAGTATGGAAAAGTGATAAACGATGTGCTTGGTTGGATTTGGTGGATTTGGATTGAACCCGAAGCTGAAGCTTGATTAAGAACTTGATACTTCTATAAAACTAGGAGTCCTCATATAGATGGAGGAATTTTGTGGAGCTTGGAATATATCGAGTTTGAAACAGTAGTTTAGGTGGAGATGAAAGAAAAGTTTATTTTAAAAAAAAAAGCCTGATAAGTAAGCCAGAAAGAAACTTTCCAGGAGAGAACCAAGACAGGTGAAGTTCCGTATAATTTGGTAAGAAGTATTTGTTTTGTTTTGAGGAAACTTATCAGTGACATGAAATGCTGCAGGGATCAAAGGAGGAAGTAGAAGTCTGAGAATAGGTTGTTGGATTTGATGATTAGGAAGTCATTGGATCATTTGAGAGAACTGCTTTAATAGAGTCCGTTATTGAGAGGAGAGACTGCAAGTGTAGACTAATGCTTCTTCGTTTGGAGCATGAAGTGAAAGATGGTTGGCAAGGTCCATAAAAGGTTTGGGGTTTGTTTGTTTTGTGTGGGAGCAGAAAGCAAGTAACTAATGTATAAGATTAAACATTCAAGAAACAGGAGATAAGACCTGGGAAGAGAGGAAAGGGGATGGGATCAAAATTACAAGTGGAAAAATTAGTGTTAGAAAGAACGGAGGACACTTTCATTTGAGATCATAGGAAAAGTGGAGGATTGAAATGAATGAAAAATTACCTGAATCTTAACATACCTTTAGTAAGAATGCTCTCTTGGCAATAAGATTAGCTTTTCTTACTGAATCTTAGGATTTTACAATGTTTTTAAACAGTCAACGTAATAGACTGTTGGAGTTCCCTGCAGACTAGATATTTTTAAGTAGCTCAGTAATATTTCAATTCATACATAATGAGTGACATTTGTAGAGAAGAGGAATTCACTCTCTCTCAACAAATGACCTTCTCTCCTATTACGCAGAGAAAATAGAAGCCATCATCTTCTTGCAACCAAATGTACAAATCTGCTTCCCTTCTGTTTAAAGAGGAAAAAGTGTTCCTTCTCCTTGGGAAGGCAAATCCTTTCACCTAGTTTCCCAGTGCCATCCTCTCCTGCCTTCTCAGGGTCTTTTTTTTTTGGCTAAATTATTTCCTCTCTCCAATTCATCAGCCTTTCCCCTTCTACTCACATTTTTCCTTCAGCATTTAAAAATATTCTTCCTTAACTTTATGAACTAATCCCATTTATTTTCTTGTCTTTTCTCTCCTTCATAGCTATAGTTCTTGAATGTATCATTTACTCTCATCTCTGTTTTTCCAACTTCTTGCTATTTATTTCTCAGCACACTGCAGTACATTTTGTTTCCACCATTCCACTGAGCTACCACTGAAACTGCCCTTACTAAGATCACCAAATGGGGCTTCCCTGGTGGCGAAGTGGTTGAGAGTCCGCCTGCCAATGCAGGGGACACGGGTTCGTGCCCCGGTCTGGGAAGATCCCACATGCCGCAGAGCGGCTGGGCCCATGAACCATGGCCGCTGGGCCTGCGCATCCGGAGCCTGTGCTCTGCAACAGGAGAGGCCACAACAATGACAGGCCTGCATACCGCAAAAAAAAAAAAAAAAAAAAAAAATCACCAAATGGCCTCTATGTGTTAAATTGTACGTTCTCATCAGGCTGAAAATTTGCTTCCTTTGAGGCAAAAAAAAAAAAAATCATACTTTTATGTATAAAGCACAGGTATTTATGGTACATAAAGAGGTGTACAGAAATATTCCATGGTATTAAAATTTTATGGAAGAGGGGTGTGAGTGAAGGGGAATCTGAAAAGGCACCTTAGGATGCAATAATGAAAGTTGAGAAACACTGTAAAATAGATATTTTCAGTTTTCCTTGTAGCTTGACCTCTTAGTGCCATTTAAAATGTTTACCACTCCTTTTTTCTGGAAACACAGTAATATACTCTGGTTACTAAACCCCCCCCCCCCCCCCCCCGCTTTTTTTTCTTATCTCTCTTCGGCCACATCTTCTCAGCCTTTTTTCAGGTCCACTTTCTTGACCCACATGCTACTCAGATTTTGAAGTTCCTTCCATAGGTTCTTTTCTACTATACACATTCTCTCTTTGTAGTTTTAGTCTCCTTATAGTTATATTTTGCATTAATAAAAAATCATGGAGCTTCCCTGGTAGTGCAGTGGTTGAGAGTCCGCCTGCCGATGCAGGGGACACGGGTTCGTGCCCCGGTCCGGGAAGATCCCACATGCCGCGGAGCGACTGGGCCCGTGAGCCATGGCCGCTGAGCCTGCGCGTCCGGAGCCTGTGCTCCGCAACGGGAGCGGCCACAACAGTGAGAGGCCCGCGTACCGCAAAAAAAAAAATCATGATTACAGTACTCACAAATCTATCTCCAGTTTGACTTCTCTCTGAAGCACCAGACCTATATATACAATGGTCTTTTGAATATATCCATTGGGGCCAAATATATCCAGAATTGGGTCAGATTGTATAGGACCAGGGCTGAATCCCTTGTTTTCCCTCTCGTCTCCACTGCCTGTTCCCTACCCCCCAAACTTTTCTCAACCCTAAATGTTTCTCTTTTCATTTTACTCCATCCCTATTATCAACACTCTAGTCTAGACCACACATAACTCATCTCTCAACTAGTGTCACAATATTCAGTTGCCCAATTATCCAGTTTCCACAGTGCAGTCTTAAAACTGTAAATTGGGTTGCATGAATCCCCTGCATAAAACCATAAAAAATGATTTTACATTGCACTGAGAATAAAGTGAACCAATCTCTGCTTATCTTCTCCATTCTCATCTCATCACTTCCATCCTCCTTCTGAAGTTGCTAAATTTGTACTGCATTTCTTTGTCTTATGTTCTTTCTCACCTTGAAGCCTTGTGGATTTTTATAGCGTACTGTATTTCCCCTATCATCTTACTGTATTAAATTGTTTGCCTTCTTTGCCGAACTCTAAATGCTGTGAGTTCAGGGACTCTTATTCTGTTCACCTTGTATCCCCATTGCTTAATATATAAAACATTCAAAACTGTTGAATGAACAGGATCAAGACATTTGTTAAAAATCAGAATAGCTAGATTATTTTCTGGTTTCATTCTCTCGCCTTAGATACAGGCCCTTCTATACCTCCATTCTGTTATATATAGAAGGAATACATTTTCTTTTTTAGACACTCTCTTCCAAGGATATTTTGACTATTGTAATTGCACTGCTTGTGAATCATCAGGGTGAGTGTGTTCAACATTCAGTAAAGAGGGTTTATGAAGTATTTAAGCTGCAGTCAAAGCTCTGATGGAACTGCCTCTGAACACAGTTTCTTAAGTGGCTTTAAAATAAGCTTGGAGAATTCTGTTTTCTGACTCAGAAGTCACTAGGAACAAAAAGATAGTTGTGGTGGTAACTTTCCCAGAAAGTTTATTAAAATAATGAAATAAATAACTGCAGCTACTCAAAGGATAAGTAGCTAAAGAAACAAGTAAATTTACACTGCTGCATGTGGTATTTGTTTTTTGCATTAGGTCCTTGGTCTTAATATGGATAGAAGAAATAAGCTTTTTTTTCCTATAATAGAAGGTTAAGATGGGTTTTGAAGATAAGCACTGTTGAAAGCTACAAGTGCTGTGCTTTCCTCTCAGCACTGAGGACAACAGCGATAAATCCAGATGGCAGTTTAACTTACTCTATTCTTCTGAGACCTGAACTACTGCCAATGAAAATAACTTTGGTGGAAACTTTTCCTGGAAAGAATTTTTCACCAGCTTAAGAGGATGAGTAGGAATCTGGCTGCTCAAGTAAAGAAACTACAAAGTCACTTGCTTCAAGAATAAGCAGCTTTTTTAGGGTATATTGTGGCAATGGAGTACCACAGATCCATGTGAACTACATTTTCTTTAGGATGAATAGTTTAAGAAGATAACCTATGTCAGCTCTCTTAAATATAATTTCTGGTCTAAATAATTTATTAGAATACATTTTGGCTTCTAACTAAACAAGAGGCATATCCTTCAACTCTTCCTCTTAAATTATAAGCTCAAACAGCACATTTGCTGCCCAGTCCAATATGGTAACAGCTAGCTCCATGTAGTTATTTAAATTTAAATTAATTAAAATTAAAACTTCAGTACCTCAGTTGCATTAGCCATATTTCAAGTGCTCACATGTGACTGGTGGCTGCTGTATCGGACAGCACAGATAGAGGACATGTCCATTATTGCAGTAAATTGTACTGACACTGATGCAATAGAGTGTGTTCCTGATAATTAGTTTCTAAGAGGCAGGTAAGAACAGGAGCTCAAGATTCAACTGGATCTGGGTTTGAATCCTAGCTCTGATACTTATTGTATCATCTTAGATAATTGACTTATCATTTCCAAGACTTTATTGTCTTATCTGTAAAATGGGGATAAAAACAGTATTTATAGCATTGAGTTGTGAGGATTAAATAAGATAATATAAGAAAAGTGTCTAGGATAGTGTCTGGCCCACAGTAAGTACTCAATTTTAGATATTATTAATTCATTTATCTTTAATGAATAAAATACTTTGAATGAAGCTGAAAATTAATTATTGTGAAGGATGCCATATTCCTTAGGGGGCTCACCTGAAGTGCTCAAATCTGGGTCTCATTGAGTTGATTCCAATGTTCCACTTTAAATCGTACTTTATATTTCAGATGAAAATTTTATTCCACAAAAGGCATCACAATGCAAATTTAGTTGCAGATCTTATTGCTGGGTACTCCTGTTCTGTTTTTTTAAAGTGTATCAGAGAACAGAGGTTAAAAGTCAGTAGGTTCTCTATATTCCAGTGGCACTATTTTAACACTCAAATAGAAACTGACACAAAGCAAACCTCTTAAACAAAGCATCTGACTAGATAAAGTGGAAAGATTTAGGAGGTTCCAGATATTAATCCGGAAAAATTTAGTAGGTCCAAAGCCTGAGGTATCAGCGTTTATTGCTGCCAACTCAGGTTGATAACTTGGCTAAATAGAGATGCCTTTGAACAAAGAAACATTTTCTTTTTCTACTAAACTGGAACCCTAAACTATCAATATTAACAGCATCCATACTTTATTAATACAATAATTGCTAAAGCACATCTCAGTAGTTAGTATTATTTACTTAATAACTATTGAACATTCACCAAATGGGAAGAGGAAATCATCACCAAATAGTCTTTAAATGTCAACTGCTTTCATTAAGTAAATGACCTCCTATAAAAAGAACTGGTCAGGTTGATGTCATTGTTTTCTGTGTCAATAGAATTGAATGAATTCATTCTGGAAACTCTTCCTTTCCTCTTTGGAATTTATCTTCATGCATAGAAATTATTATATTCATAGATTTTATATTCTTTCTCCTTAGGCTACATTTATCATTCACTACTGTAATTTTGAATGAATGGACCACTAAACACCTGATACTGATGTTATCTATATAAAAGAAAGGAGCAAGTTAAGGTAGATATTTGTCCACTGTCTCCCATATTACAAGGACAATAAACTTTTTATTTGAAGCATAACTAACACTCAGAAAAGTATACAAGCCATAACATAAAGCCCAATGAATTATCACAAAATGAACACAACTTGTAACCATCATCTAGATCAAGAAATAAAACATTACCGGCACCTTAGGAGACCAACCCTGTTCCTGTCTCAGTCATCACCCCCACTCTCCTTCCCAAAAGAAACCATTTGATTTCTCAAACTATAGATTAGCCTTGTCTGTTCTAGAACTTCATATAAATAGAATCATACTGTATGTATCCTTTTGTGCCTGGCTTTGTTTGTTCAGTATTGTGTTTGTAAGATTCGTCCATATTTGTTTCATGTAGCAATAGTTTATTCATTTTCATTGCTGTGTATTTCCCTTTAATAATACACTAGTTTATTTTCCCATTGTACTATTAATAAATAATAATAGTTTTCACTATTACAGTATATTTTTATACATGTTTTTTGTGCATATTTGTACGCATTTCTGTTAATCCATCTGGGAGTGGATTTGTGTGTTACAAAGTATTAAAGAATACTTTTTATTAATTGAAAAAATAATTATATTAAAACTAAGCATTTTTTAGACTGAAAACTACTAAACTGCAGTTTTCTAAAAATGTGAAGTTTAGTAGTTTTCAGTATATTCACAAATCTCTAATTCCAGAAGATTATTTTTATATAAATTTATTTATTTTATTTATTTATTTTTGGCTGCGTTGGGTCTTTGTTGCTGCATGTGGGCTTCCTCTAGTTGCAGCAAGCGGGGGCTACTTTTCGTTGCAGTGCACGGGCTTCTCATTGCAGTGGCTTCTTGTTGCGGAACGCGGGCTCTAGGCACGTGGGCTTCAGTAGTTGTGGCTCGTGGGCCCTAGATCACAGGCTCAGGAGTTGTGGCTCACGGGCTTAGCTGCACCACAGCATGTGGGATCCTCCCAGAACAGGGCTCGAACCCATGTCCCCTGCATTGGCAGGCAGATTCTTAACCACTGCACCACCAGGGAAGTCCCTCTAATTCCAGAAGATTTTTATCACCTCAAAAAGAAATACAAAAACCAGTAACTCCCCATTCTTCCCCCTCTACCCAGGCCCTGGCAACCACTAATCTACTTTCTGTCTCTGTGCATTTGCCTGAATTCTAGACATTTCATACAAATGGAATCATACAATATGTGATCTTTTGTATCTGGTTTCTTTCACTTAGCATAATGTTTTAAAGGTTCATCCTGTTGTAGCATGTACTGGTACTTCATTTCTTTTTATGGCTGAATAACATTTCATTTTGGATATCTGTTATTTATCCATTCATTGGTTGATGAATCCATTCATCAGTTGATAGACATTTGGATTGTTTTCACTTTTTGACTATTATAAATAATGTTGCTAAGAACATTCGTGTACAAGTTTTTGTATGGACATATGTTTCCAGTTCTCTTGGGTGTATACCTAGGAGTAGAATTGTTGGGTCATTTGGTAACTCAGTCTTTAACTTTTTGAAGAGCTCAAAACTGTTTTCCGCACAGCTGCACTGTTTTACATTCCTACCAGCAATGTATGAGGGTTCTAGTTTCTCCACAAACTTGTCTACCCTTGTTATTGTCTGCCTTTTGATTTGATTATATCTAGCCTAGAGAATATGAAATGTTATCTCATTGTGATTTTAGTTCATATTTTGAAAAGATAGTGAGCTCTAGTGCTTATCAGCCATTTGTATGTATATCTTCTTTGGAGAAATGTCTTTTAAAATTCTTTGCACATTTTTTATTGGGTTATTTGTCTTTTATTATTGAGTTGTAAGAGTTCTTTATATATTCTGGATATTAGTCCCTTGTAAGATGTATGGTTTGCAGTTATTTTCTCATTCTGAAGGTTGTCTTTTTACTTTCTTGATAATGCCTTTTGAAGCACAGAAGTTTTCATGCTGATGTAAGTCTGGGTTATCTGTTTTTTTCCTTTGTTCCTTGTGCTTTTGATGTCATATCTTAAAAACGTTGTCTAATCCAGGGTCATGAAGATTTATGCATATATTTTTTCGAAGAGTTTTATTGTTTTAGCTCTTATATTTAGGTCTTTGATACATTTTGTATTAATTTTTGTATATGGTGTGAGATAGCAGTCCAACTTCTTTATTATGCATGTGGAAATCCAGTTGTCCCAGCACCATTTGTTGAAAAGACTATCCTCTCCCCTACTGAATGGTCTTAGCACTCCTGTCAAAAATCAGTTGACCGTATACGTAAGGGTTAACTTAAGAACCTTCAATTCTATTCCATTGATCTCTATGATTCTCTTTGTGCCAGCACCTCACTGTACCTTACATCAAGTTCTGAAATCAGGAAGTGTGAGTCCTCCAAATTTGTTCTTCTTTTTCAAGATTGTTTTGGCTATTCTTGGTCTCTTTCATTTCCATATGAATTTCAGGATCAGCCTCTCAGTTTCCATTAAAAAAAAGGCAGCTGGTATACTAATAGGGATTGCATTGAATCTGTAGATCAATTTGGGGAGTCATGTCATCTTAACAGTATTAAGTTTTCCAATCCGTAAGCATGAAAGGTCTTCCCATTTTTTTAGGTCTTTTAAATTTCTTTCAGTGATGTTCTATAATATTCAATGTACAGGTCTTACACTTCTTTTGTTAAATTTAATCCTAAATGTTTTGATCTGTTTGATGCTTTTGAATTGCTTTCTCAATTTCATTTTCAGATTATTCATTGCTAATGTATAGAAATACAGTTGATATTTTATATTAATTTTATATTCTGCAACCTTGCTTAACTCATTTATTACTCTAGTAATTAGTGTGTGCGTGTGTATGTGTAATCCTTAGAATTTTCTACATACAAGATAATATCATCTGGAAATTGAGATCGTTTTGCTTCTTCCTTTCCAATGTGGAAGCCTTCTGTTTCATTTTCTTGCTTAATTGCCCTGGCTGGAACCTCCAGTACCATGTTGAATAGAAGTGGTGAAAATGGACATCATTGTTTGTTCGTTTTGTTAAGTGGAAAGCTTTTGGTCTTTAAGTATTAAATGTTAACTATGGGATTTTCTTTTTTTTTTTTTAATTAATTAATTTATTTATTTTTGGCTGCGTTGGGTCTTCATTGCTGTGCGCGGGCTTTCTCTAGTTGCGGAGAGCGGGGGCTATTCTTCGTTGCGGAGCACGGGCTTCTCATTGTGGTGACTTCTCTTGTGGCGGAGCATAGGTTCTAGAGCGCAGGCTCAGTAGTTGTGGCGCACGGGCTCAGTAGTTTTGGCGCATGGGCTCTAGAGTGCAGGCTCAGTAGTTGTGGCACAAGGCTTAGTTGCTCCGCAGCATGTGGCATCTTCCCGGACCATGGCTCGAACACATGTCCCCTGCATTAGCAGGAGGATTCTTAACCACTGCGCCACCAGGGAAGTCCCTAGCTATGGGATTTTCATAGATGCTCTTTATCAGGTTGAGGAAGTTTCTTTCAATTCCTAGTTTAAATATTTTTAATTACAAAAGGTTGTTGGATTTTGTCAAATTATTTTTCTGCGCCTTTTGAAATGATTATATTTTTTGTCTTTTATTTTATGAATATTGTATATTGTGTTGATTGATTTTCATATGTTGAACCAACCTTGCATTCTTGAATAAATCCCACTTGGTCAGGGTTATAATCTTTTTTATATGTTGCTGGATTCAGTTTGCTAGTATTTTGTTGAGGATTTTTATACCTATAGTCTTAACTGATATTGGTCTGTAGTTTCTTGTATTGCCTTTATCTGGTTTTGGTGTCCAGATAATACAAGGATACTTTTTTGATATATACTAAATTTAAATGTTTTTCCTCCCCCAGAAAATGATCCACAGTCTATTTCTCATAAACTGTTCCGGTGACATATTTCTAGAGAAGCACTGGAAGAGTGTTGTGAGCCAGTCTGTCTGTGATTATTTCTTTGAAGCTCAAGAGAAAGCAGCTGATGTTGAAAATGTACCACCTGTTATTTCAACACCTCACCACTACCTCATCAGTATCTATCGGGATAAGCTCTTCTTTGTCTCTGTCATACAGACTGAAGTGCCACCTCTCTTTGTAATTGAGTTCCTACATCGAGTTGCTGATACTTTTCAGGTTGGTTATTCATCAGATACTTTGAATTTGAATTATCCAAGTTATATTATGATTATGTCCTTTAAATACCCAGTTTTTGATGTGTAGTCTGTCTCTCTGTCTCTCTCTCCCTCTTCTTTTCAACTAAGCATAAGTTCATAAACATAAACCTTTTTTTTAGTAGGGCATACAGTAGTACACATGGTGCTCCAGTTACTGTTTTAGAAGAACAAAACAATCTCATGGTAATGGAAGCTGTATTTTTTTTTATGTATTATAAATTATGTCATCAGGAAATAATAGTGCCCTCCACATACAGTTCTCTGAATAGTACCACAATTTTGACTGGTTATGAAATCTTCCAATACTTACACTTTATTTTTTTCTTGTCTTGCTGAATATACCAATAATTTTAAACTGATCTTTGTTTTTTGGAGTACCTAATCAAGGCAAATGAAGTTTATAGTTCACATTCTGTTTTAACATTTCAGTGTACTTTCTGGCATAATATGTAATAGGAATTGAATTCAATTTAAAAATATTAAGGAAATATTGAGAAATAGTATATAGAACTATGGAGGGTTTTTTCCCTCTGTTTTACATATTTTCAACATCTTAAACAATGAATTATGCTACTGTAAGCTTACCCTTTAGAACAAAAAGTATTTAGCAAGCCTGTCTTCATGTCTTCCATTGTGTAATGTTATGTACATTTTGTTAGGACTACTTTGGTGAGTGTTCGGAGGCTGCAATTAAGGATAACGTGGTAATAGTATATGAGCTCTTGGAAGAAATGTTAGACAATGGATTTCCACTGGCTACTGAATCTAACATTTTGAAAGAATTGATTAAACCACCAACAATTCTGCGTTCTGTCGTCAACTCTATTACAGGTAAGATGAAACACACTCTGTTAGGAACTGAGCCATTAAAACTTCGTAAACAATTCATTTTTGCTTATGATCTGGCAGATTATTAAGGTAGTCCATTTTGGCCAGAATTATAGTTAGTGATAATGTTAAAATGGATATATATTTCTTTTCATGAAAAGAGACTATATCTTAAATGATACAGAACTTTTGGTTATTACTCTTCTGTTATTTTGCTACAAGACTACAAAAATATTATTACTATTGTTTAACAGTAACTAGTAAGACTGAATAAATTATCCCAGTTAATCATAAAGAAGCCAATGTAGTGACAGCTGTTAACTATTGTGGTAATCATTTTGTAATATATACATAAATCATTATGTTGTGTACCTTAAACTAATACAATGTTATATGTCAATTATATCTCAGTAAAGCTGGAAAAAAATAAAATTAAAATATAGCATTATAAATCTGGCATTATGCTGCATACCCCACAATTACTAGAGTATAGAAAATTTAAGACTGCACCACAGAGTACATGCCATCTCCTCCAAGTCTTTATTTTGTACATATAGAAGATATATTAAAAAGAGAAAATTAGTCTATTTGTGAGATTTCGTGCATTGTGGGCCTTGTATTTGTGTTACAAACTTCTAATTTTGGTTTAATTCTTGAGTATACCTAGAAATTAGGTACATCCAGAGGACGATATACTTTTGAAAGCATCAAAGTCTTCTAGAGAAAGATTTCTGTGAAATGTTATATGCCACTTCAGCTATACTGTCCACCATTGCAAACCCCTTTCCAAGTGCACTGACCTAAAAAATGGGGTAAGAGAGGCCTATAAGAAAGTGATCATTCCTTTATTCATCCTCTGGGCAAGACTGAGTGTCAGGAGAAATTTAAGGAAAGATAGGGAAGGGTAAGCTGTGACAAAGCGAGAGAGAGACATGGACATATATACACTACCAAATGTAAGGTAGATAGCTAGTGGGAAGCAGCTGCATAGCACAGGGAGATCAGCTCGGTGCTTTATGAGCACCTGGAGGGGTGGGATAGGGAGGGGGAGGGAGGGAGACGCAAGAGGGAAGAGATATGGGAACATACGTATATGTATAACTGATTCACTTTGTTATAAAGCAGAAACTAACACACCATTGTAAAGCAATTATACTCCAATAAAGATGTAAAAAAAAAATAATAAATAAATAAATTTAAAAAAGACATCAACTAACCGCCAAAAAAAAAAAAAAAAAGATGGGGTGTCTTTGCTCCTAAAACGTAAACTCTGGATGAGAAACTGAAAAAAAAAATTAAAACACATAAATAACAGTATAAGATTTTGAAAAGCAATTCCATACTTTATAGATGGTGTAGTGACACTGGAGGGTACACATGGTGTAATATTAAATGGAAAAAAAAAACAAAACAGGGAGTTCCCTGGCAGTCCAGTGGTTAGGACTTCTTGCTTTCACTGCTGGAGCCCAGGTTCAGTCCCTGGTCGGGGAACTAAGATTGCACAAGCTGTGCAGCGTGGCCAAAAAAGAAAAAAAAAAAAAGCACACAACCATAAAAAGTTACTCTTAATTATACATAAATATTCCCACAAAAAATGTTCTAAAGTTTATAATACCATCTCCAGCTAAGGAACTACATATTATCTTTATTTTTGCATTATACTTTCTGATTTCCAAAATGAACATGTATTTTATAGTCAGAAAAAAATTAGTGAAATATAAAATTTTTTAAATTTGATATTTTTTAAAATATTTGTTTATTTTATTTTTATTTATTTAGCTGCTCCGGATCTTAGTTGCAGCACACGGGATCTTTAGTTGCGGCATGCGGACTCTTAGTTGCAGCATGCATGCAGGATCTAGTTCCCTGACCAGGGATCAAGCTCGGGCCCCCTGAACTGGGAGCGCTGAGTCTTAACCACTGGACCACCAGGGAAGTCCCATAACATGGATTGTTAAGGCAATACATTATAAAGATCAAGAGAGTGGGTCAGTGGATAAAGTAATCTCTCCTGAACTGTAGTGGGTGGCCCTAGGACAGGGTCCTGGAGAATCAATAGAATTTAGGAAGAGAGGGAGGAATAAGAACATTCTTCATAGATGGAACTGTATGAGAAAAAACACACAGTGAAAAATCTTGAATTGTATTAACCTGTTTAACAGAAGTAGAGCTGTTTTTCAGTTGAGTAGTGAGATAAAATTAAAAAGTTAAGTTGAGGAAGTCCTGGAATGGTAGTCTAAATATTTAGCTTTAATCATAAAGCCAGTGGGGAAACATTTAAAGTTTTTGAACAGAAAGATTAAAGCAGTGTTTTTAGAAAATTCTGGAAGGCAACAGGATTGGAGACAGGAACACCAACCATAATTACACTACAAAGTTGTATGTGTACTTTGACTGCAACTACAATCGAACACGGGTTTGAACTGCCCAAGTCCACTTAAAGTCAGATATTTTTCAGTAAATACATATTATAGTACTACACAAGCCGCAGTTGGTTGAATCTGTTGATGCAGAACCATGTGTAAAGAACACCAACTGTAAAATTATACATGGATTTTCAACTGCACAGGGATCAGGACCCCTAAACCCTGCGTTGTTCAAGGGTGAAGTATGTATTTATTATTTTTAATAAATTTTTATTTATTTTATTTATTTAGGCTGCATTGGGTCTTCGTTGCGCATGGGCTTTCTGTAGTTGCGGCGAGCAGGCTCTCATTACGGTGGCTTCTCTTGTTGCGGAGCACGGGCTCTAGGCACACAGGCTTCGTGAATTGTGGCATGCGGGCTTCAGTAGTTGTGGTGCACGGGCTTAGTTGCTCCGAGGCATGTGGGATCTTCCCAGACCAGGGATCGAACCCGCGTCCGCTGCATTGGCAGGCGGATTCTTAACTACTGCGCCACCAGGGAAGTCCCAAGGGCCAATTGTATATTTTAAAGTGAAATCTGAAAAAAGCAAAATTATCAAAATAGAAAAAAATAATAAATGCAACCTGTTTTGAGGGAAATGTTTAAAGAAATATACCAAAATGTTAATGGTAGTTGTATTTTGGTGATAGGAAGATAGATTTTTTTTAGCTACTTTTCTGAACTTTTCACATGTTGTTGTTATTGTTAAGCATGTACTACTTTTGAGTTGGAAAAGTAAATTAACCAGAATGTTAAATATGTCACAGCTCAAGGGTATATGTTTTGGACAACCAGACTTATTTTCAGACATATGTCAGTTTACCAGGAAATTAGCCAGATTTTGAACATTAGCCATATTGCATGTGGGTGTGCCATATGGGTGTGCTGACCTTAAAATGGGAAACGGCCAGAGTATGTTCTTCAGCCAGTTAACTCTGCTTGGCGGCATCTCATGTATAATTTAAGCTGAATACCAAATGGCCTACTTATCACTCTGTATTCTCGGTGCAGACATTTTATCAGCAGAGGGTTTTGAAACAACCAGCCTCTTTTTTCATCAGTGGTAGCAGGATGAGATTCTGTTGTTTAGCCACTGGAATTAGGTTAGGTTACTGTTAACACACAGGAAGCAAAAGATAAGTAAATGAATTTAACCTGGTTTGGCAGATAGACACAGGACCACATGGCCTATTTCTGTCTTCTAGAAATTTGATCACATTGGTATGGATATGTCTCTGACAGTTCTGTAAACCATCCACAACTTCAGTGGAGAAATACCCAAACACTAAAGAAGCAGCTAAAGTACTTGAGTTTTTTTTTCTGTTAAGAGCTTTTCTGATGAGCATCTTATGTGTTAGCTTTGCTTTCTGTTTTTCCGGTTTCTAGGCAGTAGTAATGTTGGGGACACACTCCCCACTGGGCAGCTGTCCAACATCCCATGGCGCCGAGCAGGGGTAAAGTACACAAACAATGAAGCCTATTTTGATGTCGTTGAAGAAATAGATGCAATTATAGATAAATCAGGTAATTGTGTGCATATTATCTTATCAGGGAAAAAACAGTTCAGCTGACATAAGCTGAATAGAAAACCGAAATCCCTTGGCAGTATGCATTTCAGTGGAAAAGCATTCATTTTCAAATCTGTTTATTTTGTCCAGAGGTTTCATATTATTTTCATAACCTCTAGTTGAGAAATGCCAAACCTTTGTAAATCAGATCTAATGCCACCTTACTTTAAGCCAGTTATTACCCTATATTCATTTCCATCTTGCCATTTATTCAGTTTAATATTTGTTGTATATCTACTATGCACCATACTTTTTGCTACCACTTTATCTGCAGTCCTTCTAGTAAAGACCCCAGACTAAAGAACAGTACTGTATTAGAATCATAACGTTTTATTAAAAACATCTAGTCCAACCCTCACATTTTATACAAGGGGAAACTGAGGCTTAGAAGAGTTAAGTAATCTGTTCAAGGTCACACAGCTAGTTGGTGTGTGAATATGAGTTACTGTGAATTATAGACACTATCTCTACAGTGAGTGCCCTTTTTATTATAAAATTCCATTGTATGGAATAATAGCTGTACTATTAAAGAATAATGGCTCTTATTTCTTAAAAGTTAACAGCTAGCTTAGTCCATTTCATTAGAAGCTTGGCTAATTTTATTTTAAATATTTTAACTTTGATTTATTGTTAAAGTATTTTAAATAAAATTAGCCAAGTTTTAATGAAATGGACTAAGCTAGCTGTTAACTTTTAAGAAATAGGAGCCATTACAAACAATAAATGCTGGAGAGGGTGTGGAGAAAAGGGAACCCTCATACACTGTTGGTGGGAATGTAAATTGATACAGCCACTATGGAGAACAGTATGGAGGTTCCTTAAAAAACTAAAACTAGAACTACCATACGACCCAGCAATCCCACTACTGGGCATATACCCTGAGAAAACCATAATTCAGAAAGAGTCATGTACCACAATGTTCATTGCAGCACTATTTACAATAGCCAGGACATGGAAGCAACCTAAGTGTCCATCGACAGATGAATGGATAAAGAAGATGTGGTACATATATACAATGGAATATTACTCAGCCATAAAAAGGAACGAAATTGAACTATTTGTAGTGAGGTGGATGGACCTAGAGTCTGTCATACAGAGTGAAGTAAGTCAGAAAGAGAAAAACAAATACCATATGCTAACACATATATATAGAATCTAAAAAAAAAAAAAGGTCATTAAAATATTTGAATTTTGAAAACAAAAACACTAATTTGAAAAGATACATGCACCCCAGTGTTCATAGCATTATTTACAATTGCCAAGATATGGAAGCAACCTAAGTGTTCATCAACAGATGAATGGATAAAGAAGATATATACACAGTGGAATACTACTCAGCCATAAAAAAGAAAGAAATTTTGCTATTTGCAGCAATACGAATGGACTTGGAGGTCATTATGCTAAGTGAAATAAGCCAGATAAAGAAAAATACTGTATGATATCACTTATTTGTGGAATCTAAAAAAATACAACAAACTATTGAATTTAACAAAAAAGAAGACTCACAGATATAGAGAACAAATTAGTGGTTACCATTGTGGGGTGGGGTGGGAGAATGGGAGATACAAACTGTTGGGTGTAAGAGAAGCTCAAGAATGTATTGTACAATGCAGGGAATATAGCTAATGTTTTATAATAACTGTAAATGAAAAGTAACCTTTAAAAATTGAATAAATTTTTTTTTAATTTTAAAAATCACTGGGAAAAAATATTTTAACTTCATATCCAGCAGTCTTACAAAGTAGATGCTATAAAGATAGGGACAGGTTTGATTTTCCTTAAAATTATCATATTCTAACCAGAGATAGGTATAGGCCATGGCGCTCAGTAAAGAAGCTATCTGAACTAGTGTAATGGGTCCTCTGACCTTTTAATAGATGTGCAAAGCTTCAGTATGTCTGACACCCAGGAGATATGTCCATTACTTCAGATACAGTGATAGCTCTAGTAAAGATGCAGATTCCAGTGATGTTATCACCTTTATTTCTTTCTTTAGGATCTACAGTCTTTGCAGAAATTCAGGGGGTAATTGATGCTTGCATTAAGCTATCTGGAATGCCTGACCTTTCCCTTTCTTTCATGGTAAGTTTTCTCCTGTTTTGTAGCTCCTTGCAAGCCTAATACATGTGAAGTACTAAATGAAATGATAAATACTGAGACATGTTTGTTTTAGATTGCAAAGGATTATCTAAGAAATATTCCTAACACAGCTTCCAAAGACAGTAGCTTACATGATGAGCATTGCCTTTATGGAAAGGCTGAGGAGGGGTCTTTGCCTCTGAGTATGCTAGAAGTAGCTTAAATGGCTGGCTGGCATCTGCAAATGTGCAGTGCTGCTTTTCCTGAATTATTACATGCTTTGTTGATATGAAAGGATATTGATCTTTTGCATCATTTTAGATACAGCATCATTTTAGATACAGATACTACTAAGAACCATAAAGAGAACTGAGCTCTGATGCTATCTCTGCCTCTAACTTGTCCTGACCCTGAGCTCTTTGAACCTCAGTTTTTTCATCTATGAAATGGAAATGATACCACTCACATTTTCTACCTCATAGTTATTGAAATTCAAATAAATAAAATAATGTATATAAGATATTTATATAAAATATTCAAATATTTTATATTCGAATATCAAATATTCAATTATTAATTGAATATTTAATTAATTCAATAATTAATTGAATTCAGTTCAGTTCAATTTGAATATATCAAATATTCAAATAAATAAAATAATGTATATAAAATATTTGCAGACTTTAAAGCATTGTGAAACTGTAAAGTTGTGTTGATGTGATCATAACAAACTCTTACATGACTGCTATATCTTGATGAAGCATATAATTTCTCATAGTATCTGAATTAGAGTTACAATATTCATTATACTTTATAAATATGGTTGTCTTCTGTTTCCCTGGCAGAACCCGAGGCTTCTAGATGATGTCAGCTTCCACCCCTGCATCCGGTTCAAGCGTTGGGAATCTGAAAGAGTTTTGTCATTTATTCCTCCAGATGGAAACTTCCGACTCATATCATATCGTGTCAGCTCACAAAAGTATGTTGATGCATCAATCAGAATCTCCTGTCAAATATCAGTGTACTGCATAGAACTCACTTTTCCCTGTTTCATTCTGACAAGTTGGGTACTTGAATTCATCATTGCTCCCTTTAGCCACTGCTCACCAGGAGACCCAGGAAGAACTGGTGAAAATGTGTGTCTAACATAATCAGTATACTTTGAATCTTAAGAGTACAGAGTAGTAGTAAATTAGACTGTAGTAAAAATATATACCTGAGAGCAAGCATTTTGGACCATGCATAACCTGGGCAAAACCGTAAACCCATACCATAATTTTACTGTGGTCTGTGGACATCATGGCTGATAGAAGGAGACAGACTTACCTGTAGCTCTCCAGGACGTTCTTCAACTAACTGGCTTGAAGTTACTCTTCTCTGCACTGAAGTTTAAATGAATGATTTAGCATCGTGAGTTGTAGCTGGTTTGTCCCTTGAAAATATCAGAAAGTATTTTGGGTAACATCATAACAGGACTTAAAAGCAGAGGAATTGTTTCTTGGCCCTTACCACATAAAAACTGATTTATTTAGTTTGTATAATTTTAAATTATCTTTCTATGGGATCTTATTTCATTTCTTTAAACTAGGGCTATTTGCCCCAATTGCTTATACTATAATTAAGCTTCAGATTTCTATCTTGATTTGTATACTTACTGCTCAGAAATTGTATAATTCCTAGCAGAGTGGTTCCAGAACACTGTGCTATACTCAACCTGCCCTGGTACACATACTCAATCTGCAGTTCTGGGGGTATAGGATACTCTGGACTGAGGTTTTCAGGCCACCTCTGGAACTCACACTATTAATTGTATGTTTTTGTGGTTGTGTCTTTCTTTCTCTTTTTAGTCTAGTGGCAATACCAGTGTATGTGAAACATAGCATCAGTTTTAAGGAGAACAGTTCTTGTGGTAGATTTGATATTACAATTGGACCAAAGCAAAATATGGGGAAAACTATTGAAGGAATCACAGTGACAGTTCATATGCCAAAGGTTGTGTTGAATATGAACCTGACACCAACACAAGGCAGCTATACTTTTGATCCAGTTACCAAGGTACAGCCACCTAAAATCAAGAGTGAGCAAGTGTTTCTGCAATCTTTGTTTTGTGCTTTGGGGATGTGGGGGGACAGAGGAAAGGGTCTCATGTCTTGGTTAAAATTAAAGTTCCTAACAAAACCTGGAATGCATACTGTGCTGTGCTTCTGCCACTGCCTGAAGAGGGAATCCTGCATCTGCTGCTGAGTCGACAAACAGAAGTGAGACTCATTCTTTCTTCCTTCAGAGTCTGCCTTTACTTATCCATTGATAATCCAAAGATTCACTCACTCTTCAATGAGGAAGATGTCTCATAGAAGCCTGTGATATAAATTTTGTCTTCCTTTAACAAACAAGAAAACTAAAGCTCTGAGGTCAAGTGACTTGCTCAAGGTCACACAGCTAGTTAGAGGCAAGGTTGGGATTCGAACCTAAGGCTATCTGGTAAACTTTTTAAAAAGAGAAAAGCATTATGTGGATATAATGATCTATTAATTGTTAATAGATATTATAATCTATTAATTGCTAAATTTTCTGTAGAAATTAAGACCTTTCTCTTCCTTTCTAATTTAAAAGCATTGTTTCATACTCTTCCACAGAGGATGTTGGCTAGGAAAGCTGCCTTCTCACCCTACATATATTTGCCTCTAGCAGAAGGATTTCAGAGAAATTGTAAAAGATGATTTTTCTCTCTGCTTCCTGCTTGGGTAAAAAATGACTCTTTTCTTCAGTAGAGTCATTGAGCTACCTGGTAAATGCAAAGGGTTTTCTTTTTTTTTTTTTAGTAAAATCATTGAATGTTAAAGATCATCTAATCCAACCCTGAGGATTTGAAGAATCTCCCCAGAGACCACACAAGGATGAGAAGTGAAGGGGGAGCTCCAGATCCCTGGCCCTTCACCCCAGCTTCAAACATAATAGCTTCAATTTCTCATCTGTTACTGAGCTTCCTCACTAAAGATTTCATTTGAACAAAGGGTTCCATCACTAAAAGTTTAAAAACACCAATTTAGGCCCATCTTCTTATTTTACGGAGAAATCAACTTAGGCCCAGAGATAAACAGTAAAGGTGGTATAGTGGAAAGAACATTTGATACCAGAGAGCTATAGGTTCAAATCCCAGCCTTGCCTCTAACTAGCCATGTGACCTTGAGCAAGTCATTTGACCTCAGAGCTTTAGTTTCCTCATTTGTTAAAAGAAGACAAAATTTACATTACAGGTGTCTGTGAGACAGCATATGAAAAGTGCTAAGCACAGTGCTAAATCCAAAAGCGGATGCTTAACAAACATTGATTCTCTACCCTCACTCTCCATCCAGAGTCACAGAACTAATTAGTGATAAAACTCAGTGGAAATCCCAGGTCTGTTTCCAAGATACTGTGCTTTATTTTGTACAGAAGTTTATGGTGTCTTTGCACCTTGTCTTTGAACACATGTCTTTAATAAATAGTTCAGAATGTTTTTGTTTTTTATGTCTTTTTAAGGTACTAACGTGGGATGTGGGAAAAATCACTCCACAAAAGCTCCCCAGTCTTAAAGGACTGGTAAATTTACAATCTGGAGCACCCAAGCCAGAAGAGAATCCAAGCCTCAACATACAGTTCAAGATCCAGCAGCTTGCCATTTCAGGTAAGGAGAAATTTGACTTGTGTTTAAGGGTAATTGAGTTTTGCTGAGGTCAGCTACTAGGATCTTAGAAGGGTAACTGACATTCTGTCTCTACAAAGAGCAACAGCTCCAGTATGCCTTTCACTCTGTGCTATGGGTACAGTGATTTTGGAGAGCACCTTATTTCACACAGCTTCCCTTCACCCCTACCCTCATTCAAGCACAAAGAAAGGAGTCATTCATACTCACAGAAAGTAGAATTATCCTTAAAAGACACTGCTTGTCCACATGGGAATCTGAACTAAAACCATATTTCCATAGTGCTATAATCTGTGAATGGTAGAAGGAACATTGCTTCCAAATGGTGACAAGCACACTGGTTAATGTCAGATTTACTGTGTAGTAAACTCTATTTGCTAAGCAAATATTGTATTGGTTGGTGTGACCAGGATAGTAATTTATTCCTTTCCTTACCTATTCTTTTTGACACAGGCTTAAAAGTAAACCGCTTGGACATGTATGGGGAGAAATATAAGCCATTTAAAGGAGTCAAATATGTCACGAAAGCTGGAAAGTTCCAAGTGAGGACATGAGAAGAGGCCAGAATTCCTCAAGATATGTTTGTTTTCCAAGTGTCATTACAGTTTATTACCATTAGGTACCAATTGGATGGGAATACATATTCTAGTTAAAGCATTTGTGTCGAGCCACACACCGCTAACAGAGTTGCTTAGTAATCAATGTAGGGTTCTTAAGTAGCTTTAAGCTAAGGAAACTTCTGAATGACTTAGCTTATTTGTATCTTGTCACCTAGGATGATTTTAGAGGTGATTTCCTCCATAGGGAGACACCAGCTGGAGGCTGCATATTTTAACAGTCAAGGCAAAAGTCTACAGTGATAACCTCTCTCCTAAAACAAGTGAGCTGGTCTCAGCAGGAGCTATCTTAGTCTGTAATGTCATGTATCAAGTGCAGCCAAATGTCACACTTGATCTTAGCCATCCCAAATCTTCTATCCCAACAGAGGAAAAATTCCTCCCACCCCAAGAAGTTTACAGAAAACTGCCTCTTCAAGTGTTTGCCTTATTCAGCTTTTCACTTATGCCATTAAGCAAGCACTGTAGCAAAAGCCACTCCACATGGCCCTGGCAGGGAGCACTGCTGCTCCATGCTCCATTCTCACTGTACTTGGTATTGTATTTTTTATAAATAAGATTTTTATGTAAAGCTCAGATTTTGATTTATAGGGACCTTGCTGCAGTAAGTACCATCTCAGTTTTGTGCCACTTGGTTCAGCTGTTAGCACAATAAAAATGATTTGTATCAAAGGGGTGAATGCTTTAAGGTAATAAAAGGGAACACTACTTCTGCTTTTAGGAAGTTATTGCAAGCACAAGCATTTGAGATTTTAAGCAAATTAATGTAGTAAAAGAGAAACTTAAGTGAACCTTTGCCATCTTCATGTTTTATAAAGCTTATCCAACACCACTTAAAACCAGTTAGCCTAAAGGCCTCATGCCCTAGTTCAGCTAAAGGAAGAAAATGTGCCTGCCTCACTGTTGTCAATCTTTTTTTTTTTTTTCTTAAATCTTTTATCTCTGTTGTTGTTCTTAAGGGTTTCAACTTGTCTACACTCCTTGTCTTCAGGGGAACTCCCTTTTCATATTGTGTGCTTCCCAAGGCTATAGTCAATAGATTACTTCCTGAAACTATTGTTGTAACTGTCACTTGAGTACTTAAATGTCTCTACTGTACTGACAAAGTACATTATAATGAGGCAGAAACAAAATCCTCAGTAACATTGATAAACCTGTATTGATCTTCATGGTTGGCAAGTCAGTCCACAGTTGTTATCATTTAACTTGATTGACTTAGAAGTCCTTGCCCAGTTATTTTGCTTCATTAGACATGAAGAATGGAGAAAGTTAAGGTGTAAGTGCTTGCTCTTGCTATTAGTTTTCTTTGTGACTCCATTCTTTTCATTGTCAACTTACCCCTTACCCTTATCATGCTAATCATAGCCCTTACACTCATCCCATTCTGCTGTCAGGGCTAGTGGTTGGTGCTGGTACAGGGAGCCCACTGTACAGCAGCATTCTTACCTTTGCCTGCCTAGGGCACCCAGCCTGCCTTTCATCTAACAGGAAAGGTTACTTTTTGCAACTTAGTAATTTCTAGGGTAACCAATATCAGCTTGGCAGCTAAAATTAAGATGTTGCCAAATATTTATTCCCTTTGCCTAAGATTGGTTACCCAGTTCAATTGCTTTTCATTTTAATGTCTTCCTCTTCAAAGTTCATACCTCAAAAGAGCAATCAATACATTTGCTTTTCTTTCTGCAGAATCCCTAATCTCAATCATCCATATATGGACTAATTTTCTTTCTGTGCTATCTTCTCATATACAAGCAGATTGTATTCCAAGAGTCCCTTCTTCTAGCAATTTCTGCTACAACTTCCAAGTAGACTGTTTCCTTTTACAATTAAATTATTGTATTTATTAATTTGATTGAATCCAGTAAGTCCTTTCTCTAGCTCTGGCTACACTGTCAATAAAAAGATGAAAGCAACAAGTTGATTTTTTAGCTTGACTGTTAATTGAGCATTCTCAGCTGGGCATGCCACAGTGTTAGGGCAGGCTGAACACGGTCACATTTTACTCTGCCTCATCACACAAGGTGTGAGGGTTGCTGCAGAGCACTTCCAAGTGCTCCTCTCTTGACCTCAGCCTTATATATTTTCTCTAACCATCACCCTTTTAGCCACAGACTGAATAATAAGTGATCAAAGCTACTCTCCATACCACCACCTACTAATAACAAAGATCCATGAATTCTTAGTAGTTTTGAAATATTTTTCAAGCATAGAATTCCAGATAATTCCAGGATAGCCTCATTTTCTAAATTCTTAAAGGAGTATAACCCAAAAGCTCATTTTCTGCATAAAGGAGTCACCATCATTTTATTCAAAGGGAGTTCATGTGATGGGTTCATTCCTTAAGTGCTGCTATAGAAGAACCTTGGAAAATACTGGTCCTGGTGTCCTTAGAGTCATCTGACTTGAGAAAAACTATAATGCAGCAGGAAGGCAGCACCAGTGAGCATATGGTAAATAGAAAAAATGAGACCACGAATACTGTTTTCAGATATTGCTGAGCTAATTCAGTACCTCTAGACAGTTCCCTTTAACTCAGACAGCTGGAATCTGCCTCCCTAGTCAGCAACTTTTCTATGTTAAAGCAGTGATAAATGTAGTCAGCAGTACTATCCCCCTTTAGTGATATTTACCACTTTCAGATCTAGAAAATAAGGCAAAAATACTGATGTCCCAGCTCTACTTCAAGAACCTGTTCCTCCTCTTAGAGCTTCCTCAAGCAAGAAGAGGAATATGTGCCTGAAAGCTAGCTCTGCCTCATAACTGTGGTGGATCCCTGACAACCCTGTTGTTCTGTATTGGGCTTTAGAATATTAAATATCGACCTGCAATATTCCTGCACATGTAATAGCTTTAGCTTAGGGGATAGTGATGGCCTCCACATACAGCCAGAATCTTCTAAGGTGGACTGCTTCAACCAGGGGATGATCTATATCATCTGGCTGCTTTCCTCTGTTAACCTTTTGTCACTTCTGCTCCTTCTAGTTTATAATCCCCAATCTTGTCCTTTATTACAAAGATCTTGTTAAGTAAATATATTACCACTGGTTTCTTCTTCTTCCAGTACAATATTTGGATTAAATAAAAACCTTTAGTTTCCACATTTTGAGGATTAGCTTCACTGGCTATTCTTCAAAACAAAGGAGAAACCTGATCTAAAAGCTCATGCTGAAATAACATACCCATCATTTAAAGCATTATTTATATAAATGTACTTTATTGTTTTAAACAGAAGAGGCAGAAAATATTTGCATATAACAAATCCTAGCTTATAAATGTAATTTTTTAGTGATGTCTAATCAGCATTCAGGGATTTTTTTTTTTTTAAATTTGCTTCACTGTGTCTTGAGCACTGATATTAGAGAAAAGCACATTGGCATAAAGTGTAAACCAGTGTCTCAAAACACTGGAAGAACTTGGAGAGCAAACATGATTTTTCTTACTTCCTCTAAGTAGTCTTTAGTAAAACAAAAGGTGATCTTTGGCATAGATTCATGCTTTAAAGGCATTAATATTGCATTTATATCAGGTAAGCAACTATACAAGGATGCTGAGGGCCTTGAAAATAATCATCAGTTAAAAGAAAACAGAGGAAGCCTGAGTGTACAGTACCAACTTAAGACAAGTTTTACACATTCGATGTTAGGGTCTAACACACACTGGAGGTGGGGAGGACATTCAGGCAAGGGTTCTTACTCCTTTACTCATCCAGTTCTGGCTTTCGGAAGAAATATAGTTTCATGTGCTGGGGATTGCTTAGACAGCAGTGGTAAGTACAAGAAAGGAAAAATTGCCTTCTCTCACTTTGCTAATAGGAAACTTACTATGGTGATAATTAAATATACCCATTACTTTTTTGAACAACTGTACTTAGGGAGGGAGGGTAGGATGCAAGGGGCTTGGCTGTTGTTGGCTGAGGGAGGTAGGAATCACTGAGGACTGTTTCCCATCGATTCATCCCCAGCAGTGCCAGAATTCCAGTCTGCAAGTACCACCTCCCCTAGGTAGGCAGTGTCCTTCAGACAGGACTGCCTTTCCATTAGACACTCCTGGGGACAAGCACCAATTCTTAGGACTGAATTTCAAAAGGATAAAAACGATCTTTCAAAATTATAGAACAAACATATATCTTTAAAACCTTGTTTAGGAAGGGTGTGGGAAGAATACAAAAGCCAGGACAGGAGACACGATTTGGTTAAAAATTAAATGCAGCATTTCAGCTCAGAAAGAACAATAAGAGCTAAGAATGAATGATAAGGCCTCAGCATAGATCTCTGCAGGCAGTGACAAAGCGTGGAGTGCCTGGGAGTGGCCCTGCTGGGAGGATGGGCAGGGCCACGCCCCGGCCACTCTGCCTCTCCAGTGGCAGAGAGCACCAGGACACACAGTGTGTTCTTGGGATGGCTACTTTGGCAGGCCGAGGAAGGATATGGGACGGAAGGTTTCCCTAGCACAGACATTGCTCTGGAAAGAGGTAAAGACAGAATCACATGATTTGGTGATTTCCTCCTGACAAAGTGAAATTTGGTTTTGTACTGTGGGAAGCTAGAAGGATTAAATTGGGGAAGGGCAGGAAGTGAATCCAGGCCCCACATGCTGGGGCTCCCCAGAGGCCACCTTCCCCTGCAACAGCGAAGGTCACTCCTGAAAAGAACCAAGGTAGCACAGGCAGGGTCAGCAGCAACATGGAAAGCCCAAAAAATTCTGGAGGCACAGTGATTTCCTTAACTGACTTTCCTGGGCCCTGGGTCTTGGGAGCCTGGCGGAAAGAATGGGGAGACGGGGGCAGAAAGGGAACTGTCCTTTAGGGAACAAGCGCAGAACAGGATGTCTGGCTAGTGTTCACTCTTGGATTCTGAGTTTATGTGAAGTCCATGGGCTAGAAACCCCATCTGCCTATTGGGACAGAGTGTGCACAAGTAAAGCCGTGGTCGAGAATACAGGCTTTATAAGGAGACACATTTCAAAGTGTCCATGACAAGAGTATAAATGTTTTCTAATGTGAAGAGGCCCCATTCCTTTCTGTTATGTCAGGCCAAGATGTGGCTTTCAACCCCCCAGTAATCTTGGGTGGCTCCTGGGACTCCGATCATTTTCATTCTGTTCAGCAGGGGCTTCTGTGTTAGCCAGGTTCAACCAGGTGTCTACTGGTACCAGGGAGTCTTTCTAACCCAGCGCAGTGTAAATCCAGCATCTGTTCGAATTTTGATTGAAGCTGCTTCTGCTTCTCGAACAGTCTCCTTCACAGACTGCATGAGGTTCTGGGCATTGTGAACCAGCATCTCTGTGGCCTGTAAGGAAAGAGGAGCTCTCCATTACTCACAGTCGCTGATGGAGCCCTGCCTCTGAAACAGGCTTAAGCCAGGAATGCAATGCAGTTTATCCTACCTGTACCTGGCATCCCTTGTATTTGTCACATCACTGGTGGTTTATAGCTGGATCACCAAAAAGAACCCAAAACTGGACCATCACTGATTTTATACTGTACCCTTAGGTGGCTTCTAGTGTATACTCCTTTCCTGGTGTTCAAACAAGCCCCTACCTCGGGCTCCTGCAGTCCCCTCTACCTAGAATGCTCTTCCCCCAGGTATCCCATGGCTCACCTCTCACCTCCTTCAGATCCTTGCCCAGTTGTCACCTTGCTGAGGCTTTTCCTGCTCACCTTATTTTAAATCACAAACCACCTTCCCAACTCCCAGCATGCCTCATCCTCCAATTCTTTCTTCACTTTTCTCTACAGAACTTACCATCACTAATTGATGTACTGTGTGTTTTACCTAGGTTGTTTATCTGATGTTTTATCTAAAATTTAAGTTCCATGAGGGCAGCAATTTTGGTCAATTTTGTTCTCTGCTGTACCCTAGTGTTACGTCAGTGCCTGTCACGAGGCATTTCATAAACATTTAATTAACACATGAAAAACTAACCAAGTAAACCAACCACCTTATAAATCCATGAAAATCTAAATAAGTAAATCTTGTAAACATACAAAATACAGGACTGAGATCACACTAGTAACTAACTTATCAATCCATTAACTCAGTAATTTTTTTTTTTAATTCTTAAATATTTTTGAGCTACAGACCCTTTGAGGGTTTAATGAAGGCTGTGGATTCTCCCCAGAAAAAATTGCTCACGTGCACAAAATTTGTACATGCAATTTCAGAGGGTTCATGGGCTCTGAGAGGCATAACTATGGACTAGAATTCCGAATCAGTTAATCTTTTCGCTTGGTCAACAAAGAGGCTGAGGCCCAGCGTGATTCGGAGACTTGCCAGCCCAACTCACACAACAGTCAGGATGAGCCTCAAAACTTCTGACTTGCAGTCCTGTGTTTCTTCCATTCTACCACACTGTTTCTTTCTTTTTTTTTAACTGGAATATTTAATGGAACATAGTAGATACTCCCAAGATACATTTTTGTTGGCTAATTGATTAAATGATAAGGTCGGAAACTCTGAGTCTTACCCTTTCTTCCCTGTTTTTTCTATTTCCTTTTCTTGGGGCAGGAGAGATCACATGACAGGAAATAGCCTAGTGCCCAAACCCTACCTAGAACACATGGAAGTTAAAGGTTAAAATCCAGTTCCCATGGTTTGGGAGAAGAGAGGGTTATGGTGAGGGCTGTTGAATTAAACCATGGTAGTTAAGGTAGCACTACTGACACCAAGAGAAGTAGCCTCCCTGTTCCTCTAAAGTGCTCCTAACCTCTATCTCCTGGCCCGGACAAGGAGAGGGATTGTGTGTATTTTGTTAACTCCCCTACATAGTATGTAATACAGTGCCACATACATATCCCATTGCATGATGAGCCTTGTCTGAGCAGTTCAACAAAAGATGTGCTACCTTCCATAAGAAGAAATTGTTAAGTCTGGCTCATAGCAGAGCCTACTAGAGAGGAAATGAGAGGAAGAGGTGC